GCAGTACTGATGCCTGAAATAACTGCATAGCTACTCACACCGTGGATACCCTCCCTCCCACACCAACTCCAGGACTTGACCAAAGCCATCCTGCTACAGAACACGGTCCCTTTTTGCCTCTTATGCTCCCTCCGGTGCTTGGAGAAACCTTCCCTAGGCCCCCATCAGAAGGAAGCTTTCCCTCTTGAAACCTCCCCGGCCCCTCAGGCCCTGTGGTAGCATTCATCTCTGCCTGCCTCTGTATGGGCAGTGTGCGTGCGTGCGTGTGTGTGTGTGTGTGTGCGTGCGTGTGTGTGCGTGTGCGTATGTGTGTGTGTGTGCGTGTGTGTGTGTGTGTCTGTCCCCACTAGCTCGTGAGCTCCATGACAGCAGAGACCATGTCTGACTCCTCTGTGTCTCCAGTGCCTGTCCCAGAGCTGGAGCTCAAAACCATGTTTCTCGAATTTAATTGAACCTAAATCTGGGTGGTTTGGGGGTCACAAACCTGGACTCCATGCCTGCCAAATTGTGATTAGAGCTTCAAGACCAGCAGAGGAGAAAATGAAGTGCTTACTTGAGACTTATCTTCAGGGAGCTGAGATTATAGCAAGAATAACCAAAGTGGCCGGGCATAGTGGCTCACACCTGTAATCTCAGAGGCGGGTGGATCACCCGAGGTCAGGAGTTCGAGACCAGCCTGGCCAACGTAGTAAAACCCCATATCTACAAAAAATACAAAATTCGGCTGGCTGTGGTGGTGCGCACCCGTAGTTCCAGCTGCTCAGGAGATTGAGGCAGGAGAGTAGCTTGAACCTGGGAGATGGAGGTTGCAGTGAGCCAAAGTCGTACCACTGCACTCCATCCTGGGCAACGCAGCAAGATTCCATCTCAAAAAATAAAAACAAAAAAAAGAATAACCAAAGTAAGGCAACAAGAGAGGGATAAAAAGACTACAAGTAGCCGGGCGCGGTGGCTCACGTCTGTAATCCCAGCACTTTGGGAGGCCAAGGCGGGTGGATCACGAGGTCAGGAGTTAGAGACCAGCCTGACCAACGTGGTGAAACCCCGTCTCTACTAAAAAATACAAAATTAGCTGGGTGTGGTGGCACATGCCTGTAATCCCAGCTGCTGAGGACGCTAAGACAGAAGAATCGCTTAAACCTGGGAGGCAGAGGTTGCAGTGAGCCTGGATGGTGCCACTGTACTCCAGCCTGGGCGACAGACTGGGACTCCTTCTCAAAGAAAAAAAAAGACTACAAATAGGGTACAGTGTACACTGCCTGGGTGACGGATGCACTAAAATCTCACAAATCACCACTAAAGAACTTACTCATGTAACCAAACACCACCTGTACCTCAATAACCTATGAAAAAAAAGATTTATAAAAACTACTTAATGCCAGGTACATGCTGAGAAAATTAAACTGAAATAATTTGTTTCACTTAAAAACAAAACAAAACAATACAATAAAGTAAGGGCAACAGGAGAACCTTAGGCTGACGCTGGCAGGGAGCAGAGACCGGGCACCTAGACCTTGCAGACTCACCTCTGGTGCTTTTGGAACCAGAGCCCACTTAGTGGATGTCTGCCTGGAGGCAGGGGCATGGCTGAGGGGGCACCGCTGGGCCCAGGATACTTCATCTGGACTGTCAGCCTTGGGGTGTGGGGGGACCATGGCGGGAGTGCTCTCCTGGGAGGCAGCGCTGCTGTCACCACCCCAACAGCTCTTCTGGCTGCCTGGGTGACTCAGGACCTGCCAGCAGGCCCGAATGTGCTAGGACAAGTCTCAGCCTCCCCTCCCTCCCTACATGCCTCCCAGCACTCTGGTGAGGACCAAGGTTCCTCTTCCATCTGCATCTGGAGGTTGGCTGCAAGCCTCAGGCCCATGGGTCACTGCTGGCTGCTTTCCCAAGCCCTGCTCAGCCCTGTCCCTGTGAAGATCAGAGCCCTCCCTGGGGGCCCCAGATGGCTGGCAGCATTCTGACAGGTCACTCCCCTAGGGTGAGATCCTGGGGTGCGGGGGGCAGGCACTCGTACCTGACACCTCTGAGCCTCACCGGCATCCTAACAGTTGGGCAGCACGGATAGGATTATCCCCATGTTTCAAATGGAGAAACGGAGGCCCACAACCTCCACAGTCTCAACTCAAAAGCAGACCTCTTGATTCCTGCTCTCTTTCCTAGACCCCACACCCAGGATTATGGGCTGGAGGCGGGAGGGACTCACAGACTGATACACTTGTGGGTTGTGGTGATGGCAGCCAGCTTGGGTCAAACAGGGCTAATCCAGTCCTCTCTCAAGCTGGGGCTTCGCCTGTTGGGACTGGACCAGCTTTGTCTACCAGACTGAGGGGAGAGGCTTCTGGGAATAAGCAGGCTCTGGGCTCCCAGGGAAGAGCAACGCTGAGGGCCTCTAGCCTTCCGGGTCAGAGGCTAAGGCTCACTTAGCCACCCTTGGCCTTGTGTGTTCCTGTGGGGTCGGCCTTAGACTTCTCCGAACAGTGCTTCTACACCTTAATATCCCACAGGGTCAGGAATGAGGAGCAGTGAGAACGGTCTCGGGTTAATCCATTATGCTGTCGGCATTGTGCTTGTCTTGACCGGCAGAATGTCACGTCACCTGCACTCAAGCCTGTAAGCCAGTGCCATGTCATTTCCATTCCTCCTGGAAGACCAGGAGATTGGTCTGAGAGCAGCTGGAACCCTGTCCAAGGTGAGTAGCAGCACTGGGATTTGAGTCTAGGTCTGTTGGCTCCTTGATATTGGGATCCAGACTTGACTTAAGGGCTCTGCTGTTGAAGGGGAAATTGAGCCTGCCACAAAGATCCCTCCAGGTCCCGTGGCTACAGCTTCCCTCCTCTCCCACCCCGTGGCCCCAGGTCTTTCCTCCTCCCTTCCCTCCCTCCACAGCTCAGAACCACTCCAGAGTAACCTGGGCTGGCAGGGGTTAAGTCACCCTGTGCTGCCTACCTGCTTTGGTGTTTGCCAGGGCTGCACCTGTTGTAGCCCTGCAGTTTTGATGAGGTTGGCAGGGAGTGTCAGCTCTGCACGGCCACGGTAAACATGCCACCTGCCTGCTCAGTGCTGCTGGAGCAGTCATGTGCCAGCTCCAGCAGGAATTCTCAGCTATTCCTGCCCTGGTGGACCCAGGCTGAGACCTCCGCACCCTCAGGTGAGGGGCTGGGCCCTGCATGACAGATGCTCTGGAACGGGCCTGCCTGTTGGCCTTGCATTCTGAAGGTGAATGGTCCCCTACAGAGGAGGTAGCCCCAGTGCAGGAGGACAGGTTGAAGTTGGGGCAACGCACTCCTTTTTTTTTTTAATTTGAGACAGAGTTTTGGTCTTGCTGCCCAGGCCAGAGTACAATGGCACAGTCTTGGCTCACTGCAACCTCTACCTCCTGAATTCAAGTGATCTGCTGCCTTAGCCTCCCAAGTAGCTGAGATTACAGGCACATACCACCATGCCTGGCTAATTTTGTATTTTTAGTAGAGGTGGGGTTTCACCGTGCTGGCCAGGCTGGTCTCGAATTCCTGAGCTCAGGTGATCCACCTGCCTCGGCCTCCCAAAGTGTTGTGATTACAGGAGTGAGGCACCAGGCAGGCTGCACCCCCTTTTCTCCAAAGGGCTAGAAGACTCAGACACAATCAAGGAAGCATCAGTGACCATCAGAGTCCGGGACGGGCAGGGATTTATTAGCCACGTTGTCATGATAAGGCAAACACAGGCTGGTGTTCTGTCCTTTTGCAGATGACCCTGTGCAGCTGGGGCCAGTCTTCCCCTACCTTCTTTGTTCGCTGTCAGCCTCTGGATCAGCTGAGAATGCTGGCTACCCTACCTCCCTTTTTCCTCCTTCCTTTCGGTGTGGGCTGTGGTTAGCAGTGACATTTAATTCAGGGAAGGCACCTGACCTTGGGGAGGAATGTGGGAAATGTCTGCAGCCTGGGGCAGCCACCTCCCCCCTGGGGCCCAGGAATGTGGGCGCTAGGCCACCTGTGGCCCCCAAGGGAGGTGAGTGCAAGGTCCAGGAATGACACTATTGGAAGGCCCCAGTAAGGTCACCTAGGGAAACTCCTACGTTGTACACAGGTTTAGGATGAACCAACATTGCCATCCCCCCATGACACCAGCACAGCCTTCTCTCCAATCTGGTGTGGGCACTGTCCCTGACTCTTGGTGTCTCCTTGAGCCTGAGACCACAAGTACAATGGTGACTTTTGATTTGTCAGACCCACAGAACTGCAGAACGTCAGAGCCCTTTGAAGGGAGCTGCTGCACACATCCGATATCGCCCAGGTGGAGACTGGGGTGCAGGCAGGAGATGTCAGTTGGCTGCCATCCACTCACTATGGGCCAGGGCCCAGGTCTCTGGGGTGGGTGCATTTCCCACAATCCCTCCTGCTCCCAATGCTGGAAGTCAGCATCTCTTCTTCATCCCAGCAGGGAGATTCTGGTGGCCTCTCCTTAACTCCCACAGGGTTACTGCTGGGAGTGCAGTGCCTTCTGGGGTGCCCATCTGTGTGAACTGCTGGGAGTGGGTGCTGCAGCCACAGAGAGCCTGGTCACTATGCTCAAGCCCACGCTCCAGCGCCCGGAGAGCAGGTGCTCTGTGCTCTAGCTGACGGTTCTGCAAAAGCCAAGCTACCTTCCGCAGCTGCCTTCTTCCACCGGGAGACAGGATTACAGTAAGGACTCTGCTGCCCTCTCGCGGCCTCACCTGGGTATGGCTGCTGTCATTCAGACCGCTGGCGGCTCATCTGCTCCAAGCTATGGAAATCTCTCTCCTAATTGCCCTCGCCTGGAAAGTGCTCCAAAAGGCCTGGATGGGGGTAGATATCATTCCTCCTATCACAGCACTTAGGCCAGAGTTCGGATGCAAGGCCTGGTTCCATGTTGGATCCTGGAGGAAGAGGGCCTCAGGCCAAAGGGGAGGCCCAGCCTATGTAACCCTGAATGCTTGGTGTGGGGAGAGATGTGGTGGTTCCCACAAACACAGCCTAATCAACCAACACCAGACAGAATGGTTTGAAAATTTAGAGGATATTTATTTCTCAGGAAGGTGCACAACAGCTGGCAGGCACTGCTTTCCCTGCTCTAGGGGATTCTTCTCTCCTTTTCCAAGAAATCCCCTCTCTTCTTGGAAGTGCCCATGGGAGGCTTTGATGTGGAAAGAAACCATACACAACACTCCAGAGCCTTAAAAAAAATGAGCAACAACCTCCTCCACACGAATACACACTTACAAAATAAATAGACGGATAAAAGAGAGGCCACGCGCCTCCCATCCTGGCTATAGGGTGGCTTAGGGAGAGTGGGGCTGCGTGGCTCGGTCCCCCTTCTCCCAGCCAGGATTATCCAGAGACTAAATGGAATGGAAGTGCCCTGGCTTCGGAGAGAGGATGGGGCAGGACCTCTCCCGGTGCTCAGCAGGGAAGACGATGGGGGAATGGGTAGGAACAAATAAATAAATAAATAGAACCCAACAGCACTCCCAGAGGCCTAAGGGCTTAGGGTGAGGCTCAGGGGGCCCTGGGGCCTGTCTCCCTGAACATAGCAGATCCAGTACTGGCAGAAAGAACAGGAGGGAAAACTCAAGCCACACCTACCTGGCCGGCAGAGCCCAACCCCAGAAGGCGGCCTTAAATCAGCTCTACAGGGAGAAGGAGTCGGGGGCTGAGCTCCACGCTAGCTGTTCTGAGCCCGCTTTCTGGCCCTGGAGGTGCCCAATGGCTAGGGGCCCTCCCATCCCTGTGTTATCAGGGGCCAGCAGAGCCTCCTCCCTCACTCTCCTGCCTTCATCCTCACCATCTCCACAAGAGGAAACCGTAGCTGTCTCCAAGGTGGGCTCCTCCCTAGGAAAGCTGAGGCAGAGCCCTCGCCTATTCGTAGCGGCCTTCCTGACCTGGAGTATCCTGAGGGTCAGCTGGGAGAAGTCCTCGAGTAACTATAAATAATCAAAACAATCCAGTCCTGGTGTCCACCTCTGCTCCATTTGGCCACAGGTGCCCCCACTATCTCCAGCCAGGGCTGCATTCTAAGCTCCCTTCAGGCCAACAGGGAGAAAGTGTCAGACAGAAGCAAGTACAGAGAAGGGGGCAGGAGCTGCTGGAATGGACAGTTTGGGCAGGAGGCCAAACTGGACACACGGAGAAGTCCAAGGGTCCCTCCTGGAGAAGTGTGGCCAGCTGGGGGCCGGAGAGCACGGGGTCGGCGTGACTGGCCACTCAGCTGGGCAGCAACACGTGCTCCAGGAGGTAGGTGAGGGAGTCCCAGTGTTTCCAGAGGAGGAATAGGACAAGGACTAGGAGGGCGGTGCTGGTGATGCGCAGGCGTGTCTTCATGAGGGGCGTGATGAAGTTGGCGATGGTGGACACGAACACCAGCAACACGGCCATGAGCGCCAGGATCACGTTGATGAACTTGCCCAGGAGCGCCCGCGCATTGGCATTCTCCACGCCCTCCAGCTGCACCACCTGCTGCTGTTGCTGCTGCAGCTCCAGCTTGGTGACCCGGGTCAGGCAGGACTCCACGGCCTCCTGCGGGGGCAGAGGGGTTGGCATGTGGGCACTCCGGATGGGCAGGACCCCTAGGCTGAAGACCTACCTATCCCACTGAGAAGGTGCCTATAATGAAGTCCCCTCTCCAAAGGCCAGGAGGGGTGGAGGTTGACCAGCTGTAGCTGGGAGCAGAGCCCTTTAAGGATGTCTCTTCGGGTAGGATGCTAGGAAACGAGGGTCTTGATTACTAGGGAAGGAGAGGAGCTGGCCCAATCCCAGCTCCCTCTTGAGGCCAGCTAGAGCCTAGGAACTCCAATTATTCATTTGCAAGGCTGCCATCAAAGAGGTGGGGGGTATGGTGGCCCCAGCCCTGTCAGCTTGCCTCTGCACAGTGCATGCCCTCCGCCTCAGGCCTGCCTTGCTCGTCTCCACCCCGCCCCTGTTATGCTGCCCCCTTCATCCACATGCCTATCTGCCCCAGCCAACAGGCTGGCCTGTGTCCATCATGCCCCACGTGACAAGAACCCTAACCCTCTGGCTGCTGCCAGCTCTACCAGCACATCTGGGGCCTCCCAAGCTTGCCCTGGCCATACCTGGATGTCCCGCGCCCTCTCGTAAGACTGATAGGCCACCTTCTCCTCCATGCTGGCCAGCTCCTGCTTCAGGTTCGTCATCTCGTTCTGGTGAAGCTCTGTCAGGTCGTTGAGCTGCTCCTCCAGCCGTTCATACCTGGCGGAGAGAGAGTGATACCAGTCCTGGCTCCCCAGGCCTCCCTTCTCTCCCACGGTTGATTCATTCATTCTCTCAGTAAACAATGACTCAGCCCACCCGCCTTGTCCAGCTCTGCTCTGTTCTAATTTTAACAGCAACAACAATAGAAGCTATTATTTACACAGCACTTCTTTTTTTGTTTTTTGAGACGGAGTCTTGTTCCGTCACCCAGGCTGGAGTGTAGTTGCGCGATTTTGGCTCACTGCAACCCCCGCCTCCCAGGTTCAGGCGATTCTCCTGCCTGAGCCTCCTGAGCAGCTGGGATTACAGATGCAGGACACCACGGCCAGCTAATTTTTTGTATTTTTTTTTTGAGACGGAGTTTCGCTCTTGTTACCCAGGCTGGAGTGCAATGGTGCGATCTCGGCTCACCGCAACCTCCGCCTCCCAGGTTCAGGCAATTCTCCTGCCTCAACCTCCTGAGTAGCTGGGATTACAGGCACGCGCCACCATGCCCAGCTAATTTTTTGTATTTTTAGTAGAGAGGCTTTCACCACATTGGCCAGGCTGGTCTTGAACTCCTGACCTTGTGATCCACCTACCTCAGCCTCCAAAAGTGCTGAGATTACAGGCATGAGTCACCATGCCCGGCCCACAGCACTTCTTAGGTGCAGGCACTGTGCTAAGCATTTTACCTACATGACCTCATAGGATCCTCTCCACAATCCCATGAGGTTGGTGCCAGGGTCATCTCCATTTTACAGAGGAGAAGACTGAGACATGGAGGCTGAGGAGCCTGCCTAGGATCACACAGCTCATGAAGGGAGCAGTTAAGGATTGGCCAACTTCTACCTGGGCTCTTAAGCCCTGGGCTCAGATGCTGTCTGGGTATCAGGGATACATGAATGCAGAGCACACAGTTCTGGCTCTGAAGGCACAAAATAGCATAAGATGACTATTATGTGAGGAGTGGTTAGTTTTTAGATGGGGTTCCCCTTCCGTTTTCTAAACCTTCAAATATATGGAGAAAAAGGGAAAGTGGTAGCTAAGGAAAAGATCCCCCCCAAGCCCAGGGAGTGAGCAGCAAGTGCTGCAGAAGCACAGAGCAAAGGGCTGCACAGAGCGGGAGGGAGACAGAGAAGGAGGCGCTGAGAGACGCTAGTTCCAGGCTGCCCCCAGGAGCTCTGGCTGGAGGTTCAAGCTTCCCCAGCTACACATTCACACGCTTCAGCTTTCCGAGTCTGGACTCACTATATCTTTACCACCCTAAGAAGGAGGGATTCATGTCATCCCCACTTCAGGGACTAGGAAACCAGGTGCAGAGAATGCTAACTAGCTTGTTCAAGGCACGCAATAAATAACACATCTCAGATTTGGACCCAGGTGATCTGGCTCCAGAGTATCTCCAGATGACAGGAAAGTAGCTGGTCCCTGCCTCAGTTTCCCCTTCTCTACACTAACCACGTAATCCAGGTAAGGATGCTCAAAGCATCCTGAGACAGGCAGAACCTCCCTTTCACAGGTCCCACAATTCCATCTTCCAGCTGCCCTGACCGGTCTGCAGAAAGGCTGCTCAGGGGGCCAGGTGCGGTGGCTCACGCCTGTCATCCCAGCACTTTGGGAAGCCAAAGCGGGCAGATCATTTGAGGTCAGGAGATTGAGACCAGCCTGGCCAACGTGGAGAAAGCCTGTCTCTACTAGAAATACAAAATATCAGCCAGGCGTGGTCATGCATGCCTGTAATCCCAGCTACTTGGGAGGCTGAGGAAGAATTGCTTGAACCCGGGAGGCGGAGGTTGCAGTGAGCTGAAATTGTACCACTGCACTCCAGCCTGGGCAACAGATTCCATCTCCAAAAAAAAAAAAAGAAAAGCAAAAAGCCTCTTCAGGGCCTCTTGCTGGCCCCTTCCAGCTGCCAGGACGCTGCAGATGCTCCCCTGACTGCCTCTACACCCGGGGTCTGAAACCCAGTGCTCCTCGCCTCATCCCAGGTCCGACTGGGCTGCAGGACGGGCTGGGCAGGCACCTACCTGTAGCGCTCCTCCTGCAGGCACTGTGTCATGTAGGTGTAGTCCCTCTGCAGCTGAGTCTTCAGGTCTTCCATGGAGTCCTCCAGGTGAGACTGTCCCTCCTTGATCTCCCGTAGCTCTTCCAGCAGAGCGTCCAGGTTTCCAGGAGCGCCATACAGTGCATTGGACTTAGGGCTCCCCAGCGCCCCGCCGGGCCCAGCCCCGGAGTTGCTGCCTGCTCCAGCCGAGCTGGCGCTGGCGCTGGAGCACTCATCGTCGCTGCCATACTTGGGGCTGGACACGAGCGTGGCGCTGCCGCTCAGCACCCGGGCTGCCTCCTCCGGGGGCCCATCTTCCAGAGGGTCCTTCAGGTGGGCGATGTTGTCAGCACTGCCAAACTTGTTGCGGATGAGGCTGGCAAACTCCCGAGGCTTGGACACCACAGCGGTGTGGGTGGCCTGCGAGAGGCCGGAGAGGCTGCCCTTGACACCCTCCACCACGCCGCCCCCAAAGCCACTGATGCCCGCGCGCACATTGGCGCCCACGTCCTTCAGCCCTTGCTGCATGTCCCGCAGCACGTCCTTGGGCTGCCTCGATGGCCCGTTCTGCTCAATCTCCTTCAGGCGCCGGCGGTAGTGCTCCAGCTTCTTGTGCAGCTGGGCAATGGTCTGGGCTGACTTCTGGTTCTTCTTCTCGAACACCTGCTTGATCCGTGACACCTGCTGCTTGTCTGCATTGTTGGCCAGCTTCAGGTACTCCGCCACATTGTCGTCGCGAGCCTCCTGCTCGATCTTGATCTGCTCGGTGATCTTCAGGATCTTCTGGTGCAGGTGGTCAATGGCAGCCTTGGTCCGCTGGGGGTCCGGTGCCCCATCCGGCACGTCCAGGCTGATGGGGCCATCAGTGTCACCATGGCCGGTGGGGAGGCTCAGGGCCACCAGGTCTCCCTTGTCGACCTGGGGAAAGAGGCAGGCAGAGGATGCATGGGTAAACCCTGAGACCATAGGAGTGTCCCTGGACACCTCTGGACTTGGTTTTTCTACCTGGAAAATGGAGGCAGGAGTCCAAAAGAAGACAACCACCACAAGAACAGTATTCCCTGACAGCTGCACACTAGCTTGCCACTTACACAGGGCCCTCACATCTGCTCTCTACCAAATCCCCACGGCACCCCCAAAATGCAGTCTAGGCAGAGCTGCCCCTCTTTTGGCCCAGGAGGGTCAAGCAAGTTGTTCAGGGACACGTGGCCAGGAAATGACAGAACCTCCAGCCCAGAACGCTTTTATTTATTTACTTATTTTTATTTTATTTTTTTGAGACAGAGTTTCACTCTTGTTGCCCAGGCTGGAGTGAAGTGGAGTGATCTCAGCTCACGGCAACTTCTGCCTCCCAGGTTCAAGCAATTCTCCTGCCTCAGCCTCCCAAGTAGCTGGGATTACAGGCATGAGCCACCATGCCTGGCTAATTTTGTATTTTTAATAGATATGGGGCTTCTCCATGTTGGTCAGGCTGGTCTCAAACTCCCAACCTCAGGTAATCCACCTGCCTTGGCCCCCAAAGTGCTGGGATTACAGGCGTGAGCCATCACACTTGGCCTCTTTATTTGATTATTTGTTTATTTATTTGAGACAGAGTCTTGCTCTGTTGTCCAGGCTGGAGTGCAGTAGCGTGATCTTGGCTCACTGCACTCTCTATCTCCCTGGTTCAAGGGGTTCTCCTGCCTCAGCCTCCTGAGAAGAAATAGGCATCCACCACCATGCCTGGCTAATTTTTGTATTTTTAGTAGAGACGGGGTTTCACCGTGCTGGCCAGGCTGGTCTCAAACTCCTGACCTCAAGTGATCTGCCTGCCTTGGCCTCCCAAAGTACTGGGATTACAGGTGTGAGCCACCATGCCCAGCCCCAGCCCCCAGAACTCTTAAAGCTCTAGCACATGAGCCAAGCAAGTCTGAGGCCTCGCCGGAGTCATGGGGTTGGATTTCTGAGGAATGAGACTAACTTTGTCTCTTGACTCAGCTGCCTCTTAAGGCTCCTGCCTTGAGGAGGCCTCTCCCTCGGGGCTGACCAACGCCTATACTTGGCGCTCTGCCTGCCTGTCCTCACCATCCCATCCTCGCTAATACAGCTCGGCGGGCCACCCTGCCTCTGCCAACACTTCTCCCGGGCCTTCCATTACCTTCCAGCTCTCCAGAGTCATCGGTAACCTTTTCCGCTTCATAATGGTGGGAGTCCCCACTCCTTCCCAGTCTCCCAGAATTGGGAGAGGAGCATGCCCCACTCCCACCCTGCTGGCCAGGTCCCCGAGGACTAAAGCCGCAGAAGTAACTCACAGGCCAAGGGAAGCAGGGACCAGTTTGGGGCCTGAGGCTACCAGCCGCCCAGCTTTGCAGAGGGTGAATGCACAGGAAGGAAATGACAGTCCCCTTCACTCCCCACCAGGCAGGCAGGCTTCCCGAGCACATCAGGGTGGCACCAAAGTCGGAGAGACAAGGAGAGGAGAAGAGAGACTAAGAGAGCATGAGGGGGAGGGAAAGAAAGGAAGGAAGGGTCATAGAAGATAGGAAAGATGGGATATGCACAGTGGGCTGAAAGCGGGCAGGCCTGCACCCTGCTCCCCTGCCACCTGGTTGCCCTCAGCCTGTTGGAGGATCTTTCTGTCCACAGCTGAGTCCCCAGTGTCTTATCATCATGCAACAACGGAAGCAGCAGGAAATGGCTCAACCCCATGTATTTTTACACACAGCACACCCCAAACAAGGCTGGGTCAGAACATTCGCTCTTAGTGTATATGGGAGGGGACAGGGGTGTGGTCAGATACATGTAAGGGAAGGGGTTAAACACAAAGAAAGTGGCCCAGTCACACGCACCGGAACTGGGAACGGCCACTGCCGATTACAGGCAGAAGTCACTTGGCCTGATTCTGCCAAGATGCAAAGTTATTGGAAAACACGACTGAAAACAACAGCCCTGCCAAGCTCAGGAGCCAGGGGAGGGTGGTTCCTCTGTGGGCTTCCATTGGGCCCTTTCCAGGTCACACTTCCCCCTGGGATGCTGGGGACAACCACAACCCCTTCCCTAATCTCTCCTGAAGTCGGGACTTCCCTCTTACGTTTGCTGTGGGTCTCTCTCCTCCCCTCTGCCCTCCCGGCAGGTGTTCATACCTTCAGGACTCTGCTTCTCAGAATTTCGGACCTTTCATTCCCCACAGTCTCCTTTGGTGATCTGCTCCAAGGTCTAAGTGTCCCAGTTGTGTGACTTACAGCCCTACCCTGCAATTAGGCTGCTTCCTTCTGCCTTGTTCCCTGCAGTGACAGCAAAAAGCCCATCTCTCCATTTACCTGACCTTCAGTGTCCTCACCGATAAAACGGGGGTAATCACAGCTACTCTCAGGTCTTTTGTGAGGGCTATACAAGATGATGTCTGGCAAGTACTCCGCACAGTGCCAAGCATACAGAAGGCGCCCAGTAAATGCCAAGTCTGGATCTAGGCAGCATAATCCCTTTCTTCTCCTGGGAGAAAAAAACTGCCTGCAATTAAGCTGGCCTAAATATATTTCAGAAATTATACCAACAAATTTACTCTGTATGATAACTACACAAAACTAAGTTTTTTGCTTTCTGGAGACAGTCTCACTCTGTCACCCAGGCTGGAGTGCAGTGGGGCCATCTCAGCTCACTGCAACCTCTGCCTCCCAGGTTCAAGTGATTCTCCTGCCTCAGCCTCCCAAGCAGCTGGGATTACAGGCATGAGCCACCATACCCAGCTAATTTTTTATTTTTTTTTTGAGATGGAGTTTCACTCTTGTTGCTCAGGCTGGAGTGTAATGGCATGATCTCAGCTCACCACAACCTCCACCTCTCAGGTTCAAGCAATTTTCCTGCCTCAGCCTCCCAAGTAGCTGAGATTACAGGCATGTGCTAACACGCCCGTCTAATTTTGTATTTATTTTTAGTAGAGACAGAGTTTCTCCATGTTGGTCAGGCTGGTCTTGAACTTCCGACCTCAGGTGACCCACCCACCTCAGCCTCCCAAAATGCTGGGATTACGGATGTGAGTCACCGCGCCTAGCCAATTTTTTTGTACTCTTAGTAGAGACGGAGTTTCTCCATGCTGTCCAGGTTGCTCTTGGACTCCTGACCTCAGGTGACCCACCCACCTCAGCCTCCCAAAGTGCTGGGATTACAGGTGTGAGCCACCGTGCCCAGTCCAAAATTAAGTTTTATAGGTAACACACGACCTTTGATGTTAAAGAACCTAGCTTTCTTATAAAGCTGCTGCCCTTTCCACAGATGACCAACTCTCTTTCACTCTCTCCTGGGAGAAAGAATATCTAGAAAATGGGCTCTGCGTCTGGCTACATCACTGCCATTTGCTCATCTTTGTCACACGGAGAGACTGTCCCACCGACTCAGGGGGAGTGGGAGGAGCTAAGGAGAAATAGATGTGAAATGCTGTGAAAAGCAAAAGTGCTTCAGGACTATCCAGGAAAAAGCAAACTCCATCTGCCACGGCTCCTTCCTGGCAGCTTCGCCCTCCCCTCCCTTCATTTGGCATCTTTCTGCCTTACCAATGGAAAAGCAGAGTTGAGGCTGGTTGTGAAATCCCCATTAATGAGAGAAGAGATACTCCTGGGAAAAACAGCTGGGGCCTGATGGTGGGTGCAGAGAGGCCTGGGCTGAAATCCTGGCCCCCTTGCCCACCCCTCTTCTCTACCCTAGGACCCAGACTGGAGCCTAAGAGTCCTGCAGCAGTACACCAGCTCCTTCCGTGCCTCCATGGAGGCCTGGACACCTCCTTGGTGACATGAAGGTCTGCAATGCCTGGATTGAGTGGGTCAGTCTCTAGTCACAGAATATATCCCCAATTTATTCTCCTCCCTGTGGAGGACTCAGCCCCACTGCCTTTCAGAAATGTGGCATATTTTGCCTATGGGCTCTGGGCTCTTCTCTTTTCCTCACATTCTAAATGCCTTGGACAAAGGATTAGGATGAGAATTACAGTTGGCCTTCTGTATCTGAGAATTCCACGTCCATGGATTCAACCAGCCATGGATGAAAATATTAATAATGCAAATTTTAAAATATAGGGGCCAGGCGCAGTGGTTCACACCTGTAATCCCAGCACTTTGGGAGGCCGAGGCAGGAGGATCACCTGAGGTCAGGAGTTCGAGACTACCCTCACTAACGTGGAGAAACCCCATCTCTACTAAAAATACAAAAAATTAGCTGGGCGTGATGGCATGTAATCAGGATTACATGCCTGTAATCCCAGCTACTCAGGAGGCTGAGGCAGGAGAATCGCTTGAACCTGGGAGGTAGAGGTTGCTGTGGGCTGAGATCAAGCCATTGCACTCCAGTCTGGGCAACAAGAGTGAAACTCCGTCTCAAAAAAAAAATTAGTCGGATGTGGTGGTGCAGTCCTGTAGTTCCAGGTACTCAGGAGGCTGAGGCAGAAGAATCACTCGAACCCGGGAGGCAGAGGTTGCAGTGAGCTGAGATTGTGCCACTGCATTCCAGCCTGGGTGACAAAGTGAGACTCCTTCTCAACAACAACAATAACAACAAAAGGCTGGGCACAGTGGCTCACACCTATAATCCCAGCACTTCGGGAAGCCAAAGCAGGTGGATCACGAGGTCAGGAGATCAAGATCATCCTGGCCAACACAGTGAAACCGTATCTCTACTAAAAGCACAAAAAAAATTAGCTGGGCATGGTGGCACATGCCTGTAATCCCAGCTGCTGGGGAGGCTGAGGCAGGAAAATTGCTTGAACCCGGGAGGCAGAAGCTGCAGTGAGACAAGATCACGCCACTGTACTCCAGCCTGGGCGACAGATTAAGACTCCATCTCAAAAAAAAAAAAAAAAAAAAAAAAAACCACTTATAAAGCCAGCACAGCGAAATCTCCAGTCTTCCCCACTGGAGGTACCCTTAATCCCACTGGTCTCCATGCAGACT